CGGTCACCTGGAAAGAGAAATATGTTAGTATGAGCTCTTTGCAAAACTTTATTGTTCCTAACACAAACATCAAAGCTTCGAATTTTGGTTTTGTCGTTTTTATATAATTTTATTTTGACCTTCTGTTTTTACAAACTATTTTTCAAAATATAATTTCTATAGATAAGTATTCATAATAAATGTTTAATTTCAATCAATTAATTGATTTACACACAAAAACTGCAAAAAGACGTATTTATATTTAAATATATATTGTTCTAATACATATGTTTAGAATTTGTTTGTATTTTGTATTTAACTTTATCTGCGAAAATATGTTTCAAAGTTTTACTCAGATATTCAGATGTACATTCAATTTTACTAAGTTCGAGTAAAGTGTTTAGGGTTTGTAATATACAGTAGTATAACTTCCTAGCTTTCACATATTTTTATGATTTTTTCCATATATTTTATATATAAAGTATTGAAAACAAATTTCTACAAAGTGAATTTTGTAAGCCTCCAATTTAGATAACTTTACAATTCTCTCCAATTTATCTTTTGTCGGTTAGTTTTTTTTTTCTTAAATAGGTGCTATTAACTATTTACTGATTTTAAAAAATGAAATTTATGTGCACTTTTCTCCGAAAACGTTGAATTGCAATAAAATTAATTTCCAGGTTGTTTCATCAGTTATGTAAGATTGTCCTAAATAACTCAGTTTTTTTTTGTTGATTTATTTTTTTGAGAGCACGCACACAAACATACAGAAATAAGTTGTTAATTATACTTAATGTTAATCTATTTTCCATTAATATAGTTGCTGCTATATTCTTTGTGTTATTTCCATGAAAATACTTGCACATTGATTAAAGTTCTTGTTTCAATTTTGTCGACTGTTTTTTGGGGCTTTGTTTTTTTTTTGTAATTTTGAAAATTACGATAAATCAAACGATATACATAACCAATTATACTAAATGTGAAGACATAAATGTTAAAGCCTAGTGAAATTAAATTGAGTGCACACAGTACGGAGTTTCTGCTTTTGTTTTATCGAAATGTTTAGGTTATTTTTGAGAACCGTGGGAAATCGACTTATAAACTTAATAAAAATAATCAACAAATAAGAACTTTAAGATTAAATAGAGTGTACACGTTTATAAAAAATGATACAGAATAGATTTTAATAATAATAATGAAACTGGTCTAAAACTCGAAAATGGTTAATTGTTTACACTCAACAATTGTTGTGTACTCACACCACCGGTGCATTTGTTTACAACATTCGCTTAGATCTTGCGGCCCCGCTTGCTCTCCAGCTGCGGCTTCTCCGGATGATGTTTGCGCACATGGACTCCCAGGTTGCCCCGCTGCTTGGCCTTGTAGCTGCAGTACGGGCACGGATGACACGGCTCCTTGCCGCCACACTCGACATTCTCGTGGCGGCGCAGCGTTGACTTCCAGCGATACTTCTTGCCGCAATGGCGGCACACGTACCGCGACTCGGGATCATCACAAGGACCCAAAGATGAGTCGCTCAGCGACAGTTCATAGGTCATGCCCGTCGGATCGTGCTCCGACTCCTCCTTCATGGGCCGCGTGGTGAGAATGGTGTAGCTCTTGCTCGAATCGTGCATGCCCAGCTCCTCGGGCAAGATCGTCTCCACACCATCGTCGTCCTGTTCATGCAGCTCAATGGTGCTCTGGTGGTGATGATGCTGCTGCTGATCGTGCTGCTGCTGGCTACTGCTCGACTGCACCACCGTTTGGATGTGGTGCGTCTGCAGCTGGCCCGTGTGGATGTGATGCGTCTGCTGTGTCTGCTCGTGCTGATGCACTGTCTGCAGCTCCTGCGGCTCGTGCTCGATGGTGGTTATGTGCGTTTCTCCGCCTGAGGTCTGCATGTGCTCGGTGATCTCCGAGGGCGCAAAGCCAATGCCGATCTTGGTGCCGTCCGGCAGCTCTATATCATCGATCTCGGCATACTTCACCAGATCACTGATGATCGCAGCCGATGCATTCGGGTTGTTTAGATCGATCTCGCTAATCTCATACTTGGTGCCATCGGACAGCTCGTGATGCTGATGCTGGATGGTCTCGTGCGTCTCCACGATCTGCAGATTCTGCACCGTGGGCCCAATGATCTTGCCACGCGAATACCGTATCCGCGAGGCAATGGGCTTCGAGTCGGCCAGCTGCACATTACGCAGACCCACCAGGTTGATAGTCTGACCCGGATGGGTGGTGATTATGCTTTGTACTTGGGTGTGGGTCGGTTGGGCCGTCTGAAGCTGATGGTGATGCTGCTGTTGCTGCTGCTGATGGTGCTGTTGCGATGTCTGCGGCACCTCCTCGATGTGAATCGTCTGATGCTGCTGATGGTGCTCCTGGTGGTGCGGCTCCTGGGACACATGCTGAATGATGTGATGCGGATGTATGATGGTCGAGCTTGTGTGCGCATGATGGGTGGCAATTGTTGTGGTTGCCGGTATAATTTTCTTAATGTTGATAAGCTCTGCAATTGGGAGAGAATATCAAAGAGATTTATTAGTAAAATGCATGTTTAATAAAATATTTATTTAAGTCATTCGCATATTAAATTATTATAGATACGAAAATTCGAAACTCTTTAGTAATTAATTATTTTTTAACGTTTTTTCTGTTTTTATAAATGTTTTCAAGTCGAAAATAGTTAGTTTTTCCAAGTTTTTTACAAAATATTTCTGTTTTTCTACGGATTTAAATGTAAACGAGCTTGTATTCATTTCCTTGTTTAAGGCAAGTGCAAAATATATTTCTTTTTTAGTTATTAGTCATATAATAATATAATATAAGTTACAACTTGAAAGGAAATATCTAAGAAATAAGTATAAGTATAAATTATATTCGTATCTCTTAGATACTCTGCTTATTTCAACAGATACTTCAATAGCTTTGCTCATTCATTACATTTATGGTTAAAAACAAGTCTAGTTTTGGACTTACCGCATTCCGAGGAAGGCAACTTGATGGGCGTGCTGGTCAGAGTGGTGAGCGTGGGCTTTGAATCCGAATGCGAGGCGGCTGCGGCGTTCAAGAGTTCCGTGATTGTCGGCGTTGGCTGGCCAGCTGGTCCGGTGACGGTGACCGCCGCTTGGACCTGCTGTTGTTGTTGTTGTTGTGCCGCTGCCGCCTGCTGATTCTCCTCCAGCTTGGCGGCCGTTATGTTGCCCAACTTCTTCACATGCAGCACGAATCCATCCTTGTTCTGGGTGATCACTATGTCATTGCTCTCCAGCAAACAGTCGTCCAGCTCGAACTCATCCTGGGTTCCCTCGGTCTGCTCGCCCTTGTCCTGCTTGGATGCTGCAGAGGCGAATGATTGAAGGTTAGTAAAAGTTGGTGTTTTACAAATTTACCGCTTATTGGAAGTAGTTAAGCTCAGCTCCTGTCACTAATAGTAATCCTTTTGAACTCTTTTTTGTTTTGTTTTATTATTATTTCAGTTGCATCTTAACTCGGTAAAAACAAGCAAACAATTTTTTCGGTTTCCGTTTTTAGTTCTTAAAATATAAATCTTAAAATTAAAGTGTGTGTTGGTGGGTTGTGTTTGCTGTACAGCACAATTAAATGAGAACCAAGGACAAACAAAATATACCACAGCCAAAAAAAGGAATAAAAACCGTGCCCCTAATTAAAAAAGCTTAACTAACTTAAGGACTATAGAAGAATTCAATAATGACACGTTTCAATTTTGGTTACAAAAAGGCATTTTTTATTAACATTAGAAGGCGGTTCTCTCTTTCATTCCCCCTCGATGGATAAACTCACCTGACCGAGATCGGATTAAGAACTAAGAAATTAAGTTAATCAAGGAACTTTGCCCCCCTGGGTTGAAGAATCAAAGAGACCACGGGCTAGGGAACGGCCCAAAACTCTGGAAACTCCCCGTCTATCACGGGGACCTTCGCTCGAGCCCAAGGAACCCAAGGATGTATCACTAAAGTGCTCCGGATGCTGGGTCTTTAGATGCATATTGAGACTATGTTTGTATCGCGCCACATAGGAACAATGACGACACTTCTCGGTGGGCAGGTGACCACACTCATAGCGCAGGTGCCTCGACAGATTCTTCTTGTACGTGTAGGCCTTCTCACATCGCGGACAAATGTGCGAGTTGTTCGACGGGGAGACATTGTTCAGCGAGGTGACCGATTTCACGGATATCGTCCAGGCATTTTCTAAAAGAGTTGCGAGAAAGAAACGAAATAGGTTAGAGAATTTGTAATTTACAAAAGGTATTTTTATCATGGTATCGAAATCATAACAAAAATAATGTGGGGTCTGATATGGAGTATGCTATATGTATGATATATGTATGCATGTTTTTGTATAACCAACTACCAGTTCAATTGCACAGCGATAGATAGTTTTGTAGCAGAAAGTTACATCGGTAGCTCTAAGGGTTACAATCTAAAACTAAACCAAAAAAGTCAAAAAACAATTTGAAAAAATCTTACCATTCCAAAAACACTGTGTTTTACAAATTTGTTTAAACTTAAAAAAAAAATGGTATAAACTTGTTTTTATTTCAGGCAAGAATTTGGCCCACAGTTGCAGGTAGTACCGTCTACTAGGGCGTAACGGTAGCAATGGTTTATGATTGTTATATGACAAACCATTGACCTGACTCTTGACCCGACTCGTCTATGATGATCTGTAAGTAGGGAAAACTGATTAATTCAGACAAACACAACCTGGCGACCCCCAACAAAATGCCCCGAAAATAATAATTAATGGCCTTGGTTTTGTTTTTGGGGTTTCAACATTTCAATATCAATCTTTATTATTCTTGTTGTTTGTTTGTTTTTTTTTTCTGTTACCACTTTCTTCAAACAATGTGTATATAAACGATTCCATATATAATGCCATTTGTTCAGTTTTCGCAAAAATAACAATTTTTGGGGTTAAATGGTTTCTCGAAAAATTAAAACATAATCCCAAATGGTCTTAGCTTGGTTTTTTTGGTTACATCAAATCTGGTTTTTGTTTTTTTTTTTTTGTTTGTTCATTGTTTAATCCTACCGCTTGTTATTACAATTATTAATAATTATTAATTGGTTTTTATTTTATTTCATTTCATTTTTAAGGTACTAACAATATCAGCTTCTTCGTCAATGAAAGTTTTTCTTGCTTTTTCTTTGTTTATTTTTCATTTATTATTCTTGTATAAATTTGTTTCATAATTTCGCCTTTTCCGTGGTTTCGTTAACAATAAATATATGTATATATCATTTATCAATTTACTCGGTTTCATTGTTGTTAAATATTACGCTACAAAAAATAAACAACTTTCGTTACAATTAAACTTTCCTTACGGCTTGTTGTTCTTGGTTGTTCTTGTTGTTCTGGTAATTATTGTTTTTGGTTTGATTATATATATAATGTATATATATATAATATATATATCCGTTAATCCTTTTAGACTGTTATGGCAATTTCTTTGTTCCAAATACACTTTTACTAAAACTTTTTCTTGTCTGGTTGCTGTTTTTTTACTTTGTTCAGTTTTTCGTCTAAAATATATATATATTGGTATATGTATATGTCCTTGTATATATGTGTGTATATATATATATTTTTGGTTGGTTTCTTTGGAGTATATTTTGTTCATTATGTTGTAACTTACATAGTTAACTCTAATTTTTTTTCATGTTTCATGTTTTTTTCGCAAACAATTTTCTGCTCTTAGTCGATAAATATTAATTAACAATATAACAAAAGTTAAAACATAAAGAGTTCTCTTGGTTAAATTAATGTGAAACGATATATATATATTTGTATGTGTAATAATATTAAAACAGTGTTACAACTAATTTAAAGAAAAACGATTTAACAAAAAAGTTATTTCGAAACATTCCATGTTTCTTTTTCCCTTTATCTCTAAACTTTAACAGCAAAAAATAATAATAATAATTTAGCTACGCGCAACAAGGTTCTTAGTAAATTAGTTTAACAAAAACATAAATCATACGGGTAAAGCGAATAATTCTCAATTAAAATTTCAACTAATTTGAAAGTAATATTTTCCCTATTTTCTTCAAAGAGTCCCACAATTTGTCTTGTTCGCTTGGTAGTGTTCTTTTTTTGGAGGGGGGATATCATCTTTAGACTATTCATTTCAAAAATTGACTTTGGCAAATAGCCGCACAAGACAAATTGTCAACAAACTTTTGAAGCATTGCACTTGTGGCAGAATTTTGTAACCAAATTGAAGTAAATCAATCAAAAATTTGCCTTTGGTATTTGGTTAGTTACGGGGGGAGAGGAGGTGAACATGTGCTAATACCGATGATTGACACTAAAATCAAATTCCCGTCGACTGAAAAGGCTGCAAATTGGTTCAAAACGGATAGTTGCCTAAAGTAACGAATTTTATTTTTCATATATCACTAGCTGAATTTTATATATGCCAAGTCAGTCGTTTTTGGGGATTTGGATTAGTGTCAATACGGTCTTAAAGCGCAGTTTTAGTACTTCACTATAATTGATTTTCATTCGTTTTTTATCTTCCTTTATACTGTGTATAATTGTCTAGTTCATTCGAGTTCATACAGTATTCTATTGCTGTTGGTTTTCTGTATTCTGTATTCTGTATTTTATATAATATTTGTTTATTGTACTGTCATATACATGTATGTATTTTGCATATATGCGTAGGTTTATTATCTGCAACCCAAAGATTAACAATCAACAAGCAACAAACAATATATATCATCCTGCGCTCCTCCAACTTCCTTCTAACTGCGTTCCTAACTAGAAATTATGTTTAGTTGCCTCCTGCTTAGGTTATATAACTATATATATTTTCTCGTATAATTTCAATAATTTATCATTTAATATATATATGTATATATTAAAAATTTGTTTGATAATGGCACTCTCATAGCATTTAGTTGTCACTTTTGCCGTCAAAAATTTCACTAAAATCAATCTTTGAACTAACAACGAAAATGTACTATAAATTACACTTGTCAACAGAATCGTTTATCGTCTTCGAATGCAACAACAAATCATATTGGTTTACATCATATATATATATCTATATGTGAGTATATTGTTCGATCTCATCTATGGCTTCGTCTCTTCTCTAAAGCATTGAATTTTTTATTTTCAGTTTTGGTGGAGAATTTCTAATGGCACAAAATGTTCTATTTCTTGTTTTTTCATATTTTTTTATTTGTTCTGGTACAAAATCTTTTTAACCGATTGGCACACTCACACGCACAAGGCCACACACACACTCGCACACACACACACCCACTCATACATATACAATTATATTTGGCGATGTGAGTATATTTTAACCAACATCATATCATCTTTACTGACTTTCTTTTTTTTTTAACAATTTCCTTTTCCTTAATATCCTTTTGGTTCAACAGACAACATTTTTGCTAATATAGCATTATATATATAGTTCTATATGTGTATATTTTTATGTAGATGTGGTTGTTTCCTCATATGTATATGTTTTGTATATATGTATATAAACTCTTTTTACTATTTTTGTTCTTGGAACCATGTAACAAATCTTCCTGCAATCCCTTTTTTTTATCCATCTGCCTCTGCTAAACATTCGCGATGACTCTATGAGACTTCAAGTGTACTATCTACTGGATACATACAGTGAGTCCTCCAACAGAGGTTTCACTGTACATAGGCAGATTCTGTGTGTGTTGGTGTGTCTGTGTGTACCTGGCATAATAACAACTTAAACAATAACCATATAGTTCCTTATTTTTTGATGATTTTCTTGCTCTGTTCTTATTGTTTTTGATGTCATCCACTCTCGCATTTCAGGTTTAGTTAATTTCGTGGTTGTGTGGCATAACAAGAATCGTATTAATTATATTATATATTAGAAATATATATATAATAGATATATATTTGGCAACAAATAAACACAGTACGTTTTGTTATATGCATTTCGGTTTGTTTTCTTTCTGCTTCTGTCGTTTGTTATATATGCATTTCTCTCATTTGTTAATTTCACTAAGTTTTGCTTGGTTTAGTTTCTATATTATTTTTATATATTTTAACTAAAATTACGTAGTTTTGGTTAGTTTGACTAAAATTGTTTTGCTCTTAGCTTCCTTGCGTGTATGTTTTCTGTTTTGTTTTTTATATTTATTTTTTATGTTTTGTTTCTTTAACACTTGTTTGTTTGTTTGTTTGTTTTGCCTCTCTGTTCTATTCCTTAGTTTAGTTTCTTATTTTTTTGTTGGTTTTCTTAGGTGTTTTTTTTTTGTTAATCTGGTTTTACATTTTACTAAAATCCTATAAAATGTTCACTGACTGCATTTTTAATATATATGTATGTGTATATATTGTTGTTCTAGCTTGTTAAATATTACGTTTTTCACTTGCACTTTAACTAAGTATTCCGTTTGTTTCATTAATGCTCAGTTTCAACAATAATTCTCATCATATATACTACATATACATAGATTGGTTGGTTTTCTCTTTCTTTCTTTTTTTTTTAATCCATTTTCTTTATAAATGATGTGGCATCCAATAAATTCGTTTTGTTTGTTATTTGTAATTGTTCTTGGTTTTATCTAATTGTTCTATATATCATTTGTTCTTCTTGTTTGTTTGTTTGTTTGTTGTGTTTGCTGTGTTGTGTAATATACGTGTATATAATCATGTTCATGTTCTTCACTTTGATCAGATCAGTTGATCAGTTGATCTTCTGCCTATTGGGATAACGCTTATTCTATTTGATTTTAAAGAAAACATTATCTCATAAGTAATATTTGACACAGACACCGCTCTCAAGGTGTCGTTTTAGGTGGGAGCTTTGTGAAAATGCTTTGCCGCACATCAGACAGCGAAATTTTTTCTGTCCACCACATTCATATCTGCGGGATACAACATCGGGGGGATTGAGATATATATGTAGAGAGAGGGAGATAATAGACAGGTATCAGTATCACACAATATCATCGTCATCATCATCATCATCAGACAGACCGACCAGATAGATCGAGTTTATAACTATCGACTGTATATGGATGGATATACAAAAACTCACCTGATATGTCGTTGCAGCGAGCTGGCGTCCTTGTAGCTCTTCAGGCAATTGAATCTCGGGCACTGGTAACGTCCATCCGGATTGATGAACTTGAACAGATCGGAGAACTTAAGCTCGTACCAGTAGTCGCGGATCAGGGATTGCGCCGAACTGGCCGAAGTGCCCCCAGTGGGCGGCGGAGTTTGGCTCGAGTTGGAGGCATAGCTGCTTGGAGCTACAAATTTATGTTTGATAGGTTTATCATTCGTATAGAAGGAGAAGAAAGAGAGAGAGAGGTATACATATCATGAGTCTCGGGTTGTTCCATTCGGTTTAACCAACATCTTACACATCTAGAGCATATATTTCAGTTTTGAAAAAGTAACAAGATTTCAGTATACAAAAAAAATACACATTTTTTGAAAGTTTGTAAACAATTTTTAAGAAAGAATTTTGTAAAGTTAATTATTTTTTTTTTTTGCAAATTAAAATAGTAATAGTAAGAAATTGGTGATATTTACAGTTAGTGTGTGTTGCGGGGTGTTTTTTGCTTGATTTTTAGATATTTTTGTATTTTGTGTGGGCGTGGCATGGTGAAGCGTGAGCAGAGCTAGCAGCAGTAGTTGCAGATTGGCTGGGTTTGCTTTTTTATTTTTATTATTATTTTTTTATTTTTTTTTTCTTGAAATGAACGCTGTGGGATGATGACTGAGCTTGACTGAAGATGATGCATTTGATGGTGATGGTGATGCTTGATATGGGTCTGCAATGAAACATGTTTAGTAAACTGGACACGGCAGAAAGACAAAGTTTGAGTTCGACCCACTACTAGTTATACAAACGGTTTCTTGATCAATACAATTTTATTCGAGTTACAAAAATATTCATATATATATATGCATATAAAAAATACTTAGTTATGGCTCTGACATATAAAAATAGTTGATTTTCGGTTATAAATATATATACGTTTTAACTTAGATGGCTAGCTAAATATCATTTTCGCTTGTTATACTCGTGTGTTCACAAAATTCGTTTCACAAAATATATATAGTAACTGGCTTAAGACTTGGGATTTAGATTTACTTTTTACTTCTTTACTTCTTTGGCTGCTCTGTAAATATATATGCTTGTTTTATATTTGAACTATGTATTTGCGGCTGTTTTTAGTTTTAGTTAAGTGTTTGTTGTACTTGTACTGTTGGTTGCATTTCATTTGTATTCATTTGAGATCCTTGTCTATCAGTTAGTCATAATCCTAGCTAGCAAAAGGAACTTAGATTTTATGAACTTAATCCACAAAAGTTTTAGTGTTAGTTGGTTTCTTTTTTGGAATTTCGCTGTTTTGGCATGGCCTTCTCTTAACTACAAACTAGAGACTATATCGAAAAATGTTTCACTTTTTTGTCTTTTGGTTTTGTTTTGGTTTTTCTTAGGAATGCAAAGTTTGTGGGTTTACCAACCCGAAGAACTACTCTCAGTAGTTTAACCCCCTCTTCTCCCTCCCTGACTTAGTTTCGTTCACATTTTCTCTTTGGACTTTTTTGGCTTACTGGACTATAAACTAAATGCTACCAATATTAAACTTAAATTAACTTAGGAAAAAGTCAGACTAGCTGAAGCATAAGTTATGATTGCGAAAAATTTGGTTTTTGTTGCGTTTAACTTAAGTCTAAAATACGAATTTTAAATGAGAACCGAGGAGAGACGGTTGACTGCAATGATTGGAATTTTAAGCAGGCAGGCAGGTTGGCTGTTTTGGTCTGGTCGCGTTTGTATACCATTTACATGAAAATTAACCAAATTTATGCAAATCGCGTTTACCATACATAATACAAAGTAAAAGCCGGAATTTGTTTTTCTTTTGCTTTGCGATAGATAGCTCCTGTGCGCTGGCTCAGTAGATCATTGCAGTCTGTCCTTACTGGTTGTTGGCATTTTTTTTTTGGTTAAGAACTGAATACATAGATATATAAAAACTAAACTTCTTGGACTGGATTTAAGATGGATGATATATATATAATATATCGTTTTTAGGGACCCTTCTCCTCCCTCCCTATGCGGTGGCCTCCCATTTGGAGGCTATTCCCGTGGAGGCCTGCATCTGAAAGGCCAGCGGCAGGAAGTCCTTTTTCATTTTGGCAAAATGGGTCTTGATGTGCTTGGTCAGGTTATCGCTCCTCTTGGCCGCATAATTGCAGCTGGGGCACTGGAAGATGGGTCTTTCGGTGGTGAAGCGGCACTCGAAACGTCGATGGCGGCTTAAACTCTTGCGGGTCTTGTAGGATTTGCCGCACTGATCGCAGGCGTGCTGATACCAGGTTAGTACGAAATCTGCAATGTAGATGTGGGTGCGGTACGGAGAAAGGGGCACACGAAGACGGATGGGTAAGTGAGTGGGTGAAAGTGATCGAGTTGAATTGGTTGATAGTTGATAGCTGATAGCTGATAGTTGGTATACAATGATTCGTTTCCTGATCGTGTATGACTGACTGATTCTGCTTTACACATTTCAATTTCTTTTGTTATTTGAGCAAGTCAAGTTTGCTAAGCTACAAAAAATCAAGAAGAAATCATATAGTAAATATTAAAATAAAATTCATAAATATTAAACGACTTAAAAACATGTCAAGCATTCCAAAAACGAAAATATATTTAAACTATTGACGGGAAAATAAAAAAAATACATGTATATTTATATATATAAAACATCGAGATCTCTTAGTATAAGAAAAATTCAGCCCATATTAAATATATATTTGTAATAAACCCAAGTGGAACCGCCTTAAATACTAGAAAAAAGTCTGTGTAAGAAAAAACATCAAGTGTTAAGTAATTTATTTTGGTTTTGCAAATATTTCATTGAAAGAGACACACACAAATATATTATCAAATAGAGAAAAAGATTAAGATTAAGACTAGGAATTGGAAAGGCACACAAAAAGCTGAAAGGACACACACGCTCATACACTCGCCACAAAGCGCACACGCATTTGGGACACAAAAAGCAGACACATGAGAGAACCCAAGCAAGAAAGTGAAAAATAGACACGAATTATGTTGAGATCATGCTTATAGGGCGATATAGTGGGCAAGGGATCTTAAAGGCAAAGCTCAAAAGAAAAAAAAACTTGAATCTTGAATCCAAGGATCATATTTTACTTTAATGCAATCCCGAAACACACTATATCGCACTGTATGTACGTGTAGATCAAGTTGAAACCCAGACAAAAACAATTCGAGGCGAGAGTTTACACAGAACAAAGATATATATCATAGAATATATATATATATAAAGAAATAAGTATGGTATATAATATTGTAAGTGACAGACTTTTTTGCGGATCGTTGCGCTGCGGCAGACAGTCGAGTTTTCCAGGACAAGATACGGTCGCCTTCATAGATAGTAGTATGTGATAGTAGGTGGTAGATATTGGAGTAGTAGTGGTGGATGGAGTAGTGGGGTAGTACAACAGTTTTGTTTGTAGAGACATCTAAAAGAAATTTAGTAATAAAAATAGGTTAGTGAAAAATTCGCACAATTTCCGCAAAAAAAAAAATGGCAAAACTGAACGAGTGGAAAAATGGAGAACAAAAAACAAACACGAAAACGAAAACATTGATGGATGATGAATCATGGGGATATGAACAAAAGATGATAATGCAAGGATCGATGGCGATGATAAATAATGGGGTTGGGGATGAGAAAAGGCTATAAATAAAAAAAAACTTTCGATTGCTGCAATTGAATACATCATAAATATAGTATTGTATTTGGTGTTTTTTCGTAATTTATTCATTAAAAAATATAATTTTCTCATTTTTGTTTCGTTTGGACTTTGGATAAATTAGATTTTAATATTAGGTATACATGCTAGAAATGTATAGTATAATAACTTAACTAAGTCGTACAATTTGGTGGCATATCATTTGGAATAAGTGCATTACAATTAGAAATCTACCTCCATGGCTTCCTCTATTTGCGAGAGGCGAGTTAGGTGGCTAGTTGAGTATTTTGTATTTTTTGGATTAAATCAAATTGAAATTACTCAACTTGTAGTAAAAGATTTGATATTCTCTCTTGACTTTTTTTCTTTTTGGTTTCATCTTAAATGACTAACAAATAGTTTAGGGTCCTGGACACTTTTTAGGGTAAAGTAATCCCATATCCCTGTCATGCTTATAAGATTACAAATTCGTGACGGTTCATGATAGTTATCGTTGGATTTAGGAAAGTTTTGTGGGTTGATTCAACATTGTAATATTGACAAATTTTAAGACACATTTTGTCTAGGAGCGACTCACAAAAATACATAATTAAAATTATCTTTCAAAATGGAATGTCTACGTTTGAGATTCTCGTACAGGGCAAATACATATAGTAAAATGAGGGTTTTGGGGGTGAGGAAGGAAAACGTATGAATACAGTTAAGCAAATACGTAGAGCTCACGCTCTTGACAAAATAAAATGAGAGATTCTTCGAGTTTCAATAAATAAGATACATATATGTATATCTAGATCTAGAGTCGAGTGAGCTTAGTTATTGTTATAAGCAAATGGCATCGTGTTCATCAATCGCTCCTTGAGCAATGAATTTGATATAATCTGTAGGCCCAGCTTCATGTTCCACTCCTCGTTCATCAGGTGCTGCACCTTGCTGGGCGTCACCGGTTCCGGCTTGATGCCGAGAGCTGCAGCAGCCTCGACTTGTGCGGCCAGTGCCTCCTCCTCGTCGGCGTCCAAGGGTCGTCCTCCTCCGGATTCGTTGTTATTCTTGGCCTGGGCCTCTGCAACTGCGGCTGCTGCTGCTGCAGCTGCCGCTGCTGCCTGTTCCTCGACCACGGCTGCTGCCGCGGAAATCGCTGTGATGGCACCTGTCAACCCATACGTGGGTATCGGCATAATGTGCGGTGGCAGTGGTGATGTGCATCGCGAGCCCGGCAGATTCTCATTTTCGTAGTTCTCCTTGCGCAGCGACAGATTCTCCGGTATGGGACTCTCGCAGCCATTGTGGGATCCAGCGCTTCCCACACTGGCCCCACAATCAGCGCTGGAGCCTCCTCCACCGCCGCCACCACCCATCTGCTGCAGACCAGCCAGACCTCCGCCAGACTTGTGGTCCAGCGAACCGCCAATTGAGGTCCGCGATCCACTGCCTGTTGTCATCTGGGCAATTGCCGGCGGAATGCCGTGCTTGGAGACCAAATGGCGCACCATGTGGTACTTGCGGCGGA